ATCCTTGAAATGCCAAATTAGTTAACTGTTATCAGACGAGAACAAAACTATGCTGTCCGTTTTTTTCAAGTCTTCACTACTTCCCAAAGATTTTGTAGCTGAATGCATCCTACGTAAGCAGCGACGGGTTGCTCAGTTTTGGATAACACATGCAGGTTCCTTCTGCAAATTAAGAGCCTGTGTTGCTCTATATCTGACGATACAAAAAGCCTGGTGTATTGGAGCTATGATGAAACACTCCCAAAAAAAGGTATAAAGTCCTGTGCCCTATCCGAACCGAGCAAAAGCGAGTCCAATGCAAAGACTAGCAAATCCCTACATTCTCCAGCGTAAATACAACCTTACAGATACATAACTATATGTCCCCGGGTCTTACCCCTGCAACAGCGCCAAATGCGTTTTTTGCGCTTTACAACACAAATCAGTTGGTTTTTGATGAATGTACACCCAGCCAGCGAAAAACGAAATTCCACCTGTCGCCTTCCCTTCTTCCGCCAAAAGGGTCTCCCTCGGCTATTTTTGCAATATGTTTGAATATGACGCTCAGTTCTGGCTTCAAAAAGCACTGCTTTCCCGCACAAAGTGATCTGGCATCTTGCGAAAGCAGAAAAGTTCCAAAGCAAACCGAAATATTTCCATGTCGTCTCAGCCAGAAGACTAAGCTCAGTAGGCATTCTGTAATGGAAAGATCAAGTGCGCAACCAAGCAGCTCATCATTTATCACCTTTCTGGACAGTTTTCGGTGGCAGCAAAGATTGTCGCGGTTGCGCCGGTGGTCGTGCTGTCACAGGTGTCGAGCTAGTCGATTGTTGTGGTGTCCCAGGACGTGCACGTACGTTCAGTGCCTTCAGGGGCTCATTACGTCGGCGCTTCGCATTCGGCGATGATGAGTTTGGCGGCAGTGGCGCTGGCATCTTCTTTCCCTCTTCACTTGGCGACCGCTTTCTTTCTTCTGAAAGCGAACTCAAAAGTAAGCGAAACAAAAAAACCAGAAAGTAAAAAATGGCAAAAGCTATCCAGAGAAATTCAGGAAGCCCAAAAACGTGAAATTTTTGGACAAGCGGCAAAATCATGCATCAAGCATCATATGGGAACTAAGATGGTCTTTGATGAGCAATGTACGTAGACGAATTATAGACTGAAAACAAGCCGCCCACGGTGGAAAAGCCTAGAACAGATTTGCGAGGTGTTTGGCAGCACCTTGACCGCCATGAGATTCTAGCAAAGAAAAAGTTGACTTAATCTCAAGAAAGGCGT